GATCCATGAGCCTGGGAGATCTTCCATCTTCTGATATCTTCTTCATTTCTTTTTTCAAATACTTGAAGTTTTTATTTTCACTTGCTTGATTAGAGTTACCCAAGAATGGTTTATATTATTTGAGGCCATTATGAAAGATGTTGTTTTCCTTATTTCTTTCTCAGGCCATTTGTATATGGAGGGGGGTGACCTACTGATTTTCATTATTTAATTTTGTATCTAGTTACTGTGCTGAAAGTTCTTGTCAGATGTAGGAGTTCCCTGGTAGAATTTTTGGGTCACTTATATATACTATCATATCTTCTGCACATAAAGGTACTTTGATGTCTTCCTTTCCAATTTATAGCCCCTTGATATTTTTGTGTTGTCTTATTTGCTCTAGCTAAGACTTCAAGTGCTATATTAAATAGATATGGAGAGAGTGGACAAATATGTCTTGTTCCTGGTTTTAGTGGATTTGCTTTTTCTCTCCATTTAATTTGATGTTGGCTATGAGCTTACCGTAAGCTGCTTTATTATGTTGAGGCATATCCCTTGTATCCCTGATCTCTCTAGGGCTTCTTTCATAAAGGGGCATTGGATTTTTGTCAAAGGCCTTTTCTGCTTCAATTGAGATGATCATGTGTTTTTGTCTTCCAGTTTGTTTATATGGTGGATTATACTTATCAATTTGCATATATTGAGTCATCCCTGCATCTCTTGGATGAAATCTACTTGATCATGATGGATGATCTTTTGATGTGTGCTTAGGTTTATAAGTATTTTATTGATTTTTTTGTTTCTATGTTCATAAGGGAAAATGGGTCTGTAATTCTCTTTCTCTGTTAGGTCTTTATGCAGTTTGAGTATCAGGGTAACTGTGGCCTCATAAAATGAATTGGGCTATGCTCACTCTTCTTGGAAACTCTGGTGGAATTCTGCACTAAAACCATCTGGTCCTGGGCTTTGTTTGTTTGTTTGTTTTGGTTGGGAGATTTTAATGATTACTTTTATTTTTACTAGGGGTCGTAAGTTTGTTTAAATTGCTTATCTGATCTTGATTTAACTTTTGTGAGTAATATGTATTGAAAAAATATTCATTTCATTAAGATTTTCGAATTTGGTAGAATATAGGTTTTTTTAAGTATGTTCTTATGATTCTCTGGATTTCCTCAATGTCTGTTGTTATGTCCCCCTTTTCATTTGTAGTTTTGTTAATTTGGGTATTCTTCTTCTGCCTTTTAGTTAATTTGAATAAGGGTTTGTCAATCTTACTGATTTTTCTCAACAACCAACTCTTTATTCCATTGATCCTTTATATTGTTTTTCTTTGTTGTTGTTCTTGTTTCTGTTTTATTGATTTCATCACTGAATTCGATTATTTCTTACCATCTACTGCCTTGGATGTGATTTCTTTCTTCTTTCTTTTTTAGAGCTTTCAGGTGTGCTGTTAAGTTGCTAGTATGAAATCTCTCCAATTTTTTTATGTAGGCACTTAGTGCTTTGATCTTTCCTCTTAGCACTGCTTTCATTGTATCCTATAAGTTTGGGTATTATGTGTATTCATTTTCATTTAATTCTAGAGAGTCTTTGATTTCTGTCTTGACCAATTTTTCATACAGTAGAAAGTTGTTCAGTTTCATCAGTTTGTAAGTTTTCTGCTGTTGATATCTGGCTTCAGTCCTTGGTGATCTGATAGGATGCAGGGAGTTATTCCAGTTTTCTAGTATCTGTTGAGACTTGGTTTGTGTCTGAGTAGATGATCAATTTTGGAGAAAATACTATGGGGTGTTGAGAAGAAGGTAAATTCTCTTGTGTCTGAGAGAAATGTTCTGTAAATGTCTGTTGGGTCCATTTTGTTTATAACATCAGTTAATTCCAGCATTTTTCTGTTTCGTTTTTGTCTGGATGACTTGTCTGTTGTCAAGGGTGGTGTCCTGAAGTCTCCCACAAACTTGGGTGCATTTGTGTTTGGAGCATAGGTGTTTGAATTAGTCAGGGTTCTCTAGGGTAACAGACCTATAGATCCATTATAGAATGATCTACACACACACACACACACACACACACACAGAGAGAGAGAGAGAGAAGAGAGAGAGAGAGAGAGAGAGAGAGATAGAGAGGTGGGATTTGTCAGAACAACTTACAGTCTGTGGTCCAGCTAAAACAGCAATGGTTGCCTATGAACAGAAGGTCCAAGAATCAGTAAGCTGGTTTTCAGTATATGCTTGTATCCTGGAAAAGTAGACTGCAATGCCAGTGACAAAATGGACTTGCTAGTGAGAGCAAGAACAAGCAGGCTAAGAGCTAGGCTTCCTTTTTCCATATCTTTATATAGGCTTCCAGCAGAAGGAAAATATTAGATGATTAGAGGTGTGTCTTTCCACCTCAAAATATCTGAATTAAAGATGTGCCTTCCCACCTCAAAGATCCAGATTAGAAGTGGATCTTCCCACTTTAAATGATTGGGAAGATTGTAATCCTAGGTGTTGATATTTGGTCTTGTTTTTGTAGATGGGATGTTTTGTACTTTGGCTTCTGTTTCCTCTTTGGTTCTTAGGAGAGTGTGGTGGTTGTATTGTGTCTGGTAGAAATTCTTCTGGGATCATGATAAGTGTGGGTACTGGGGGTTCTAGGTAAAATGTGTTTCTGGATATTGGAGGCTGACACTTCAAAATGGGGTGGGTTGGGATGGGCTGAAGTTGTTCCTAAGAGGGATAAAAGCAGGGTGTTCCACCAGGATCTGTTTAGTTAGTCCCCTGGGAATGGGGCCAGAGAGTGAGGCAGGGCCACAGCAGATGGTCTGCTATAGAGATGGGGGTGAGACTGGGGATTGGACTTGAAGAAATGGAGGGAGAGATGAAGATCTGCAGTTAGTCTACTTGCTTGTCTAGTCCTAGATTGTCCATGGGTTCCCAGGAGTGTCTACTGGAGTCAGGGGCAGGGGGAGGGCTGGGAAAAGCAAATAGTTTGGGGAGGGAGGTTAGGAGGGGGAAGATCTATGGGATCCACTGGGGATGGGGGCAAAGGGGGAGGAGAGACTGCAGCAGGTATTATGTTGCAGGGCTGGGGAGGAGGCTGAGGAACTGGATTTGAAGGAACAGAAGGAGAGGTGAATATCTACATTAGCCTACCTGCTTCCCTGGCTGGAGTAGTTGGGGCAGGAGAAAGCAAAGAGTTGGGGGAGGAAAGTTAGGAAAGCAACATATGTGTAGTCTACTGGAGTTGAAGGCTTCTGGGGGAGGGGTGTGTAACCAGTGGTTTGCTGTATGCTATAGAACTCAAGATGAGACTGGGGGATTGGATATGGAGTAGCTGGTGGAGAGGTGAAGATCTGGTGTGTTAGTCTACCTGTTTCCTTGGCCAGAGATAGCTTTATTTGTCTAAAGCTGGAAGGTAGTATAAAAATTGTATATCAACAGTTAATAATGCCATTGAAATCCCTAAAAATGGCCCATGAATAATTGAAATAACACAGATAGATTGACCTGAATATCACGTGAAGGATTTGGCGTGTATCTAGATACAGTAAACAGAGGATAAGTATCTTGAACTTAAGACTGCAAACAGCATAGAGAGATGCCCCCACAACAGTGCTCCCGGGGGAGATCTGAGAGCATCCAAAGGACGACAGAGTCCTCTTTCTTCTCATTCTCCTTCACACTGAAATGATAGCCAGAGTCATCCACTGCTCTCGTTAAGTAACTCACTCTGGGCTTTTACTCTCTAAGAATGTAGCTGCATTTATAAATTGCTTGCATGCATGAAGAGATTAATACACTTCACTATAAACTGTGCTGGAAAGTCTGCTCACCCCAAAGCAGGAGATTAGCCCCACAACAGCTACTAAGGAACCTTGGGTAAGTCATCAAACATCCCTGGCCACCAAATGGCAACTAAAGTATCTACTAATGCAAACCATCTCTAACTTCGTTAGCTCCAGAAAGGAACTAAAGAGAATAACTGGTACCCAGCTTGTCCCCTTGGTCTATTCTCTGTGGACTGTTAAACAGTGGAGAAGTGAAATGAAATTGTATTATTCCAACTGAGTAATAGAGAAGAGATACCTGATCCTAAAAACCTTCCTGTTTAGCATGCACTGCAATGCTATCATGTTCAATGTCAGCACTCAAGTTCAATTCCAGTAGAGATCTCTCTAACCCACATACCGAGCCAAAGCCCTTCATCTCAATGCTGTTTGATTAGAGAGTACACAGGATTGAAATGAGGAGATGACTTTGTAGACTGAAGGAAAGCAGAATTTCTGTAGTCATAGCTGGAATACGCAGCCAAGAGGATAAACTCATTTCTGTGTCAGGCTCTGGAGGAGTGGGCACCAAGCAGTGGGTCTAAGCAGTATTTCCTAAGCTCTCCTTTCCCCTTCGGTCTCCACTGTGCTTGATTCCCCTGGGCTCTGCTTGCAGAGGTCTAGCACACTCTGGACTTGCTTGTAGCTCTCTCACTTCTTTACCTGCCTTGTGGAGAAAGACAACGGGGTGGAGGGTGAGAGGGGATGGGGCTATAGAAAATATGTATCAGGAGAAAGTGTGTGAGTCTTATGTTGCTCTTTCAAAGCTTTAAATTAAATTCTGGAGGAATCTGATGTTTTCTGAAAGAATTTTCTGGGATAAAAAAAAAATAAGAAGAAAGAGCTCATTCAAATACCACCAAACAAGAGTTAATTACTCTATGTAGGGGTTTCCAGTTCTCCTTCCCTGCTTCCTTCTCCCACTTCCTCCCCCTCTTTCTCTCTCTCTGCCTTTCCCTCTCCTTGTTACACACACACACCCCTGGCTATCAGGGTCACATTCTCAGCTCATGCCATCTGCCATTCTGCCACCGTCCACATTATGTCATTTGTTTCCATTTCAGAGACTGTCAAGAGAGACCCCCAAAGTCTGAAGAATAATGGCCCTTCCTGAAATACAGAGTATACCTACTGCTACATGATTTTCTCTCTCTAACCCTGGATAGTTGAGCACAGCTGTGGATCCACAGAAAGCCAACTGATCCCAATCACAATGCATCAACTTTTCAGATTGGTTTTGGGGCAAAAAGATCTTTCAAGAGCTGGGGATCTCTTCTCTTTAGATGATGCCGAGATTGAAGACAGCCTGACGGAAGCGTTGGAGCAGATTAAAGTCATTAGCTCATCTTTGGTAAGTAAGTTGGTTTGTAGAATAGACCTCTCAAGTAGCCAATCTCAGAGCCAAGAATGACATGCCTCCCAGCAAACGAAAAGGGGAAAGGCCAGTGATATTCGTAATATGTGGTTTAATTGATATCTTAGAAAAATAACACTGTACAAGCCATTATCTTAGGCCAGATTTTGCCCACTCACGGGGACCTGAATGCTAGAAATCGCAAACTACAGTGGAATTCTCACAAATGGATTCTTTAGGGGCTATTTTTACATCCTTGAAATGTCATGGAAAAGAGGGGTGTAACAAATTTAGGAAAAGCAGACCTGCCAAGCTGCACAACTACATCAGCAAACAAGGCAGGGTGGGTGTGTGGTGGCAGCTGAATAATGAAAGAAGGCAGGTGACACCTCTGGCACACTGGTAATGTGAGACACGGACTGCCAGAGCGCTGCTGCCAGAAATGACAGTTGCCCAGGGCTTGATGACGCTGATTCTGTTTACTTATGCATTGCCTTGCTCTCTGTAAAAATCCTTTCTTTGCTTCACTTTCTACCCTCCAGTATCCATTTAATTCAGCCTCATGATTAGTCCCAAATATGAGCACATACCTTTGAGATCCCAATCAAGCCTCTCCTTCCTTTGTTTTGTCTCTGTGTCAAAATGATGTATTCTGAAAACATACCTCAAAGTGGAGATACGTGCAGTACCCAGTGTGGTATGATGTGGACCTTCTCGGTTGGACTTGGACCCTCCTTGAGATTAGTCCTACTTCAAAGACCTCAAGCACTAAGCACCTGTCACACCCATTACTCACAACTCAATAGTGCTTGTCCACGCTTAGCACAGACAACCAATGGGAGGGGGAAGTCGAGTGGCTCTGGACATAACAGCCTCTTCCATAAGACTTTTAAAAGGAGCACTGGCAAGCCACAAGGTTTTCTCGATGTACCTGCCATTGTGTTCATTTGCCCTTCACTCTTTCTTAAAAGAGTTATTTATTCACATATTTTGTGTATATCTCTGTGTTCATACATACCAGAAGAAGGAATCTGATCCCATTACAGATGGTTGTGAGCCATCATGTGGTGGCTGTGAATTGAACTCGGGACCTCTGGAAGAGAAGACAAGTGCTCTTAACCACTGAGCCATCTCTCCAGCCCCTGTTCTTCACACTCAATGTACTAATTCCCATACTGACCAATGAGATCATTGTCTTAACATTCTTCCTTGACAGTTCATGTTTTTTCCAGACCACCAATCAAACTATTCTGACTGAAAAAATAAAGTTTATTTTCACTCTATGAGTAGTATTTCTGTGCTGTTTCCATCAGGTCCCTCATTCACTCCTCTAGAAACAAGCTGGCTGAATATGCCATTGCTATTTATCCTCCCTGGAAAAACAAATCTACTCAGACTAAGGTCCCGAAAGCCTGTGCTGTTTCCACCAGAGGTCACTAGTGGCCTGTGCTTTCTTTTGTCTCCTTCAACCTGACTCACAGATGTCAGATGAAGGCCTTTACAACTGGTCCTGTTATAAGTCCCCACTGGTTCAGGAGAGTGCTGCTTTAGTCTAGCAGCACAGGAGGGCTGTTGGAACTAAGTCCTCTAGCCAGCTTCCCACCTTGCAGCAGACAGTTCATGACTCTTCTTGAATAACTTCCATCTCATTGACTTCTGCCTATCTCCAGGGAGCAGAAGAAACATAGCGACTTACCATTTACGAGTGTCCAGCTTGGGAGACTGATGCCAGACACTCCTTTTCCTTTTCTGATTAGTCTGTTGTGCTGACTTGGCTTATGTGCCTATTAGCTGTGTTAAATTTATTCCTCACGATGTGGCCCAGGTCTCCCTTGCAGTTTGGTGGACCTTTCCTGATAACCCTGGATCATAGTAATTAATTCTTATTCTCAATTCTTCTTCAAAAACAGAGCTAGAAATTTCCTTTTGAACTGCCTTTTCCAACATGTTTCCTGCACCCATATTTTCCTTGGGACTCCGGACAAATGGCCTCTTCTGGTTGTTAAATGGTGAGGCTAGGAATGTCGTTTTGACATTTTCCCCCCTCTTAAATTTCTCTTTGTCAATTGTCATCTCTGTATCACAAAGCTCTTTGATGGGGCCTCAGCAAGGCTCCTACTGCAGATGGCTCCTACTCTACTACCAACAGAAAGATGGGAAAGGGTGAGACCCCCCCATCTGATCTTAGCAATTAGAATTTAGTTTCCCAGTAATTCTGAGAAAGAAATCACCGAGGAATAATTTGTTAGTATCCAAAGAGGTAGTACTTCCTTTCCACGCTCTGTAAAACTGCGTCTGCCTTTCCCACTCTTTTTCCTGAGATCAGGTACTCCCACTTTGCTTTCAAGTCTGGGCACCATCTATTATCACCACCACCAGCAGCATCGCCGTCATCATTGCCATCATCATCATCATCATCATCATCATCATCATCATCATCATCATTTTATGCTTATCCAAATTTAGGCTATTGCTGAAGATTCAAGAAACTTGACAAAGACATGACTCTTCCAACAACCGTTGGAGGTTAAAAGTTAATAAGTATTGCTTATCATCTTGACAGGATCTGAAATCAGCTAGGAGCAAACCTCCAAGCACACTTGTGAGTCAGGTAGATTAGGTTTATCTTCAGCATGTCTGTGAGGTATTGCCTTGATTAGACCTACCCTAATAACGTTGTCACATTTCCCTGGGCTTGGATTCTGGACTATGTGAAAAGGAGAAATCCTGGCAGAGCACAAGGATTCATTTGTTTTCTGCTTCCTAACTTTGGGCACAACTAGACCAAGCTGCTTCAAGTTCCTTCCACCAGAACTTCTCAGCCATGATAAACAGCACCCTGGAATTGTAAACCCAAGTAAACCTTTTCTCCCTTAAGTTGCTCTTGTCAGAGAATTAATCACAGCCACAGAAGAAACTGAGATATACCATGTTCCTTCTTTTACCCAGAAGAAATCTTGTTATCCAAACATTTTACTCTTTCTTTGTTCTAGTCTCTATTCTCAGCCATTAAGATCCAGCCTCCTTTCCTATGAGAAAAACTTCAAACCTTTGAACAATTGTCAGGTCTCGCCTTCTCTTTCAGGCTAAATATTTTTAATATCTGGGGGTTTCCCATGATATGAAAGGTGTCTATGTCAGGGAAAGGTTGTACCTCCTGACATCCTACATAAAACCCTTAACGCTATGGTCATCAAAATGCAATTTGTCAGAATGTGGGGAAAGCTATTCAAATTGTGCTATCTAAGCACAACATTGATATAAATGACAACAATAATTTATCAGTTTATAATGAAATGGTAAAATATGTATCAGAATTTTTGTGTCTTGTGTTGTTCTGCCCAAGTCTCTGTTCTAAGTTTTAGAGAGGGAATATTATTATTGTCTATATTCCATCCTCCCCTATTGCTGTCATATTCAAGCCTCACTTCCTGAAAAACGTCCAACTCACCTGTAAAATCTCTTATAGACTGTGTCTCTATTGAGGCCCATGAGCTGGCTAATCCCATTCATACAAGTAGACTTCATTGATTTCATTCTCTGTAGTTTTTTTTTTCTTTTGGGGGGCCAAAATAAATACAGGGAGACCTATCCTTACTTAATGCCCAGCCTTAGTTTGGCTCATTTCTAGCCGGCTCTTCTACTTAAATTAACTCGCTTCTCTTTTTGCTTCCTGGGCTTTTTACTTTTTATTCTATACATTTTTCTTTCCTTCTTACTCCATGGCTGGCTGTGTGGCTGGCTGGCTGGCACCTGGTGCCCTCCTCCTCTCCTTTTCTCACTCCTCAATCCTCTCATTCCTCTTCTCAGATTTCTCCTTCTATTTATTCTCTCTGCCTGGCAGCCTCACCTATCCCTTTCTTCTGCCTACCTATTGGATATTCAGCTCTTTATTAGACCAATTAGGTGTTTTAGGCAGGCAAAGTAATACAGCTTTACAGAGTTAAACAAATGCAACATAAAAGAATGCCACACATCTTTGCATCATGAAACAAATATTCCACAGCATAAATGAATTTAACACATCTTAAACTAATATTCTACAATTCTCAAAAAGAATTATTGTATCCAAGTTCTCAGAGAATACCTCACTGTAGCTCCAAGTACTACCCACCTTTTCAACACTCTGGATCCCCTTGCTAGGGGTCATCTTAAGTTGTTATTGTAATTCATCCTTGTTTTATACTTGGACCATTTGCTCAGAGTCATTACTAATACCAATCAGATAAAGTGTTCTGCTTCTAATATACCATTTTAATAGTAATAGCACACATTTTCCACATTTATCCTGAAAAATTCTAGAACTTTAAAGATGAACCAAATCTCATAGCCAGGTCATTTTTTATGTAGATTATATTACATTTAAACCATTGCAAACACATGCTTGTGTTTAGACCCTTATGCTAACAGATACTGTCCCTTAGACATGATGATTCTGTCAAGTATATTTAGTCATCACTCTAAGACTTGTAGAGTCAGAACATTAGTCAGGTAAGCCTCAATTCCTTCCCCCAGAGCTACTTGCAAAATAATCAGCCCTTATTGGATTCCAGTTCCCAGTTGGTGGCCACTTTCCCTATCTCTCAGCACATTGCTGTCAACCATTTTGCTATCTGCTTTGCTTTGAACTCATCACTGGAATGCCACGCTAAGTTTCCAAGCATGCATTTAATTTTGTTTATTTTTTCCAAATCATTTCTTAACTACCTTTATTATTAGTTTTCTTTCTTATTAACTGAGCTTTCTTTCCACAGAACTTCAGATGATATCATCTCTTTATCCAATCATCTACTTTTCAGTACACTCTTACTCCATCCCCAACCCATCCTCCAGTTCTCTTGGATGTTTTAAAACACTGAAACAAATTGGACAAACAATATCACCTCATCTAAATATTAGACACCTACAAAAATGGTTTCTGAGTCATCCGCTATGAGATCTGGTGCCCTCTTCTGCTGTGCAAATATACATGGAAGCAGAATGTTGTATACCTAATA